CATACTAGATTTTCAACTAGCCGCAGTTGTTGTGATTTTTGGGGGTTTTTTCGATTTTTTGGATTTTTTTCGTTTTTTCTGAATTTTTCTCCCTTTTTCTTTAACGAAATTTAACGGACAGCTGATAAAAATTAACGAACCGGATTTAACGGACCGGATGGCACCTTTGAGTGGCCACCTCTAGTCTACACGGTCTACCGGAGGTTATCATATCTGACCGAGATCCGAGATTTACCAGTAAATTCTGGAAAGGTCTGTTTGACCTGCTGGGCACTGATCTCAAGTTCAGTACAGCGTTTCATCCTCAGACGGATGGCCAGAGTGAGAGAGCCATACAAACGCTGGAAAACTTCCTACGACCGTATGTTGAACGAGATCCACAACACTGGGTGAAGCAATTGCCGTTAGCGGAATTCGCCGCGAACAACGCTAAAAATGTGGCCACGGGTTATTCACCGTTTTTCCTTAACTTGGGAGACCATCGATATTACAAGGACATGGAACCTCCCGAGTAGAAGTTGTACAACAGATGGTGGAACGGATGAAGACTGCCCTGGAGGAAGCACAAACCAACCTTGCCCACGCGCAACGCCATGCTCAATATCAGGCGAATAAGTCGTGTCGGGATGAGAGTTATGAGGTTGGTGATGAGGTATTACTGGCAACGCGGAATTTGAGTATCGTCCAGCATCTTCCGTCAAAAATCAGACGACGCTGGGTCGGTCCCTTTCCGGTAGTCAGAGTGATTTCTTCAGTGGCTTACGAGTTGCGTCTTCCCTCAGGTTGGAAGATTCATCCAGTCTTCCGTGTCTCCAACTTGCGGAGACATGTCCGTTCAGAGAGGTTCGCACGGGTGGAGAAACCACCTCCCCCGATATTGGTTGACGGAGAGGAGGAGTATGAGGTGGAGGCGATTCTAAGACATAAGGGCACAGGAGCCCGGCGCCTCTATCAGGTCCTCTGGAAAGGTCATCCAGTGACTGAGGCTTCCTGGGAGCCTGAATCGCATCTACGTAATGCTTCCTCCCTCCTAGAGGATTACCTGCGCCGGGTCGCTGCATCTGAGCCAAAGCGATCCCGGAAAACAAAAGGAAAACAGACCAAGTGATGGTGTCGCCGGGGAGTTCCGAGTGCCGGTCGTTGATGTGGTGGGATGGTTACAGTTGGTGATGGGGTCTTACGTCTCGGGGGTAATCGCGTTCGGCGCGCCGAACCGGACTTGGATCTACAAGTTGCAACTGAGCCACCGTACCGGCCATATATGAGCACATCGTTGGTGCCGGGGGCCTTGTTTCTGTTTCGCCTTTGTATATCATGGGTTTCGTCGGGTTTTTCTTTACTTCACTTGCTCCGTGTCTCGGGACAGCCACTTCCTTATGGGGGGAAGTGATGTTGTGAATTCTGGTGGATCCAGTCTTACTGGAGATTTCACTTCATTTTGTTGTACTGCGATAGTGGGGTGAGATTTGGGTTTACTAAATACACTAGGGGAGTAGTGTGTCTATAATTTGATTTGCTGCTGTTTATAGTAAATGAACACCTGATTATAATTGTGGTTCACGCTTCCAATGTAACATTCCGTTTGAGTTCCCTGCTCGCTCTCCGCGTGCCCCTCGTGGGCAGGTCCTGGGGCGCACCCAATAGGGTGCGCAACAAAATATTTTTGATGTGACATGTACGTATCGATTAGACCGTATATGAGATCAGGGGGATGGCCTAAGGACGTGTGAACGGGCGGCTGTGAGATGGTGGTAAGCTGAAGTTGACCTGATAGGGAAATATGGGATCAAAGGAGTCTGACGAAATGACCAACCGGGTGGTGCGCTGGTCGGGTGGTAGGGGATATCCAGATATGTGGTTGTGGGAACGATCTGGATCCCAAAGTGGACCTTTTTGTGGACCTTTTGTTTTTGTCGTATAGACATGACTGCGGTGATGTATAAAGTGGCGGGGGTGCGCATTGTAGCCGCCCCCGGTCTGTAAGAATGTTGTGTGAAGCGACTTCGGTCGCATTTTGACGCGGTGAATCGGTATACAGTATCCTTCGCATGCCGAATTCCATTGCGCTCACCCCGAAGGGTCGTGCCATGCCCGGGCACAGATCTTTACAAAACCCATTCCCGACAACAGGGACAAGGGTTGTGTTTATTACTGTCAGATCAAAAGAATCAACGGATTTACATCTCGATGCAGCCGTAAACTGAAACGCGACAACCCAGGCAGACTCAATGCCCAAAAAGAGAAAAGCTGACAACTGCCTACCGGCTCGCCAACCATAGCGCCTTCCCGTGTCGGACCCCCTCACCCCACCCCCAACTCCCACCCACCCCGCTCATATCAGCAGCTTCTCGATCGCAATCTTCAGCAAGTTAATCTGCGTCTTCAGGGGGCTGCCCTCGTTGACGGTCACCGAGCACGCAATGGCCGGCCGCGTCACGCCGCAGGCCCGCCCCAATGCCGCCTTGGACGGCATGAACACGTACGGCACATTCTTGTCCTCTGCCAGCAGCGGCAGGTGCAGCACGATCTCGATCGGCTCCGTGTCGGCCGCCACAACCACAAACTCCGCAATGTTGCGGTTCAGACACTTGGTGGCCTCGTTGGCGCCCTTGCGCAGCTGCTTGTAGTTGCTGCCCTGCTGGACGATGTCCATGATGGTCTGCGCCAGGGCGGCGGGCGCCAGGGGGTACGCCTTTGGGTTCACAGCCAGGGCCATTGGCGGCGCGGCGGCTGATCACGACCCCGAATGAGCCAGTCCCTTCCGATCCTTTCTGATCACGACCCCGAATGAGTCCTTTCCCTCACCGACTTGAAGATCCTGTCCCCGTTGGGGGAGGCGTCGCCGGGGAGTGGGTTGAAGTCGAGCGTGGCCCAGCGACCGCGCAGTCGCAAAGGCTGCGAAATATCTCCAAAACACCCCGCGCTCTCACCGTCCACCCCCTTGTTCAGGACTTCGCAATGTACGACAGAGAAGGTGCTCGCCCAAACACCCAAGAGAAGACGGACAAAATGGCAAAGAAACCGAAAGCTGAGCGCACCCGCGCCGAATTCCGCCCCATCAAACCCATCCTGATGCCTCCTTCTCTCCAGCGGTCATGACAGGCGGACCCTGGAAACGCAGTTGACACCCCCACGCCCCACGAGCAGACCGCCCCCCCCCCCCCCCCCCCCCCCCCCCCCCCCCCCCCCCCCCCCCCCGCGGCGCCCCGCGCCACCCCCTCCGGAATCCAGGCGGCCGTCGCACGCGGCGGGAGGGAAGGGCATCAACGCCGCCCTTAGCCTGCGGCAGGAGCATCGGAGAAACGAACGCGGAGCCTCGCGCGGGGCCGCAGTGGTGCGTGCGCCCCTTTCGCCCATCGCCCATCACCGGCCTCTCGCTGTTCTGCAGTCGGCGCCGCGGCGTCCTGACACGGAGCGCGACGGGGCTTCGACATTTAACCCCTGTCCGGTGCTGCGCGCCCTCGACGGGTCGCGACGGTCGTGGGAGTTCGATCCTGCGCCCGCCGCATTGTTTGGGCCGGGTGGTGAATGGAGGCAGGCTGGCAGTGAGCCAGGGGAGGTGTGCGTGGGGGGGGGGAGGGAGGGTGCTTGGCTTGGTGGGTGCATGCTTTGGTTGCCGAGCCGCCGGACAGTCTGTTGTGTGGGGTGTCTCGCAGAGGTCGCCCCCGCAGCGGTGCGAGGCCGCCGGCAGCGGCGGAGCGGGAGAGGAGCCGCGTCCAGGCGCTCGGGCGCGCGGCGGGCACGGGGATCAGCGCGGCGCCTAGACGACGCTTTTCGACGTTTTTCGGCGGGCTGTTGTCGCGGCGTGGGCCGAGGGCGGGCTGGTGAGTCCCTTGCGCGGCCTGGTGAGCGCTCTGACGCGTTGCATGTCCACAGGTTGCGACCGGAGGGTTCGCTCCGAACCACCGCCGCCACCCGCCGTTGCGCCTCCGGATCCTGACCTGCCCCTGTGGAATGGCGGCGATCAGGATCGGGGAGGTCCATTGGGCAGCCGTTCGCGGAATGCCACAGCCCGGTCCATGCCAGGGGCGTTTGCCAGCGGGGGTGGGCGCACACGCAAGATGTGCCCGGTGGTAGGGAAACGGGCTGGAGAGGTGTTGCTCGGCGCTTATTGCCACTGCGTTGCTGGCTTGGAAAGCCTCACCCACTTGCATGGTAGAATTCAGAACCGCCTTTTTGGTTTGAAATGGGACCAGAGCATTTTGTTGCTGGGATGTGCCTTTCGCTGTTTTATGGTTTGACTGGCCATCTGGACGACCGGCATGGCGTTTGGCACAGCTGGGGGGGAAGTCCGAGCTGAGGGATGTGATGTGCGTGCCTTTGCTGTTGGCAGGACGTTTGGTGCAGTCTCGCTTGTCGCAGTGGGCACTGGGCGTGCGGAGCCCCTGTCACTGTGGGCAACTTTTTCGGATCTCTTGTGAGCCTGTGCAATGAACCACGGTGGCTCGGGCCGCGGTCCCAACGCTCGACGGGGCCCCAAGGGTGCCAAGCGCGGAAAGGTGCAAAAGAATGCAACAAAGGGCAGCTCGTCCAAGCACACGCACAATGAGCACAAACGGTACGAACCAAGTCCCTCCCCAACGCTGGATAGCGACAAGGACCTGTCGGATAGTGACAACGAAGGAAGCTCGGGGTACAGGAAGGGGGGCTACCATCCTGTCAGGATTGGCGAGAAGTTCAAGAACGGGAGGTACATCGTGCGGCAGAAGCTCGGTTGGGGGCACTTTTCTACTGTCTGGCTGGTGGACGACACGTTGACTGGGGGACAGGGGGCACTGAAGGTGCAGAAGAGCGCTTCGCAGTACACCGAGGCTGCACGCGACGAGATAGACCTGCTGACGCAGATCAGGGATGGGGACCCAGACGTTGAGAACTGCTGCTGTCAGCTTCTGGATTGGTTTGAGCACCACGGGACGAACGGGAGGCACATGTGCATGGTCTTTGAGGTCCTTGGGGACAACTTGCTGAAGTTGATCAAGCGCTACAACTACAAGGGTATCCCCCTGCCGATTGTCAGGAATGTGACAAGGCAGGTGCTGATAGGCCTTGACTACCTTGAGAGGAAGTGCAAGATCATCCACACAGACTTGAAACCTGAGAACGTCATGCTTTCAAAGCCTTTGGTGATGCGGAAGCAGGTGAAACCTGCAGGTGAGGTGCATATGCCCAAGCTCAGTGTTCATGTGCGAAGCCAGGAGGATTTTGACAGGGGCCCCCCACTGACAAAGAGCCAAAAGAAACGGATGAAGCGAAAGCTCAAGAAAGCAGCCGAGAAAGCATCTGCTGCCCAGTGCACCAGCCCCAACGGAATGGAAAGGGAAGAGAACTTGCCAGAGCCGGGAGAGGCCAACGGGCTTTCACAGCCATCCTGTGATCTGGACACCCAGGAAGAGAGCTGCTCGACCATGGGCCTTGAGGGCAGGAGGCTGGAAGATGGCTTGGACTCTGGCGGGGTATCCTCAAGGGTGGCTGTTGAGGAGCCGTGTCAGGTGCTCACTGATGAAGATTTGGAAACTGTTTGCTGCAAGATCGTCGACTTTGGCAATGCGTGCTGGACCTACAAGCACTTCACCAGCGACATACAAACAAGACAGTACCGGTCTCCAGAGGTCCTGCTGGGCGCGAAGTACTGCACTTCTGCAGACATGTGGTCCCTGGCGTGCATGGTTTTTGAGTTGGTGACAGGCGACTTCCTTTTTGACCCACGCAGCGGGGAAGACTACTGCCGGGACGAGGACCACCTGGCCTTGTTCATAGAACTGCTGGGAAAGCCGCCAAGGCGAATCGCACTGACAGGGAAGTATGCACGCGACTTTTTCAACCGCAATGGCGAACTGCGCAACATCAAGCACCTCAAGTACTGGCCGCTGGATCGCGTGCTGGTGGACAAGTACAAAATGCCTTTAGAAGAAGCACTGGGCCTGACTGACTTCCTGCTGCCGATGCTGCACTACGATTTTGAGCAGCGCGCGACTGCGCGAGAGCTACTGGGCCACCCGTGGCTGAGGGGCGAACTGCCTTATGTGGACCCAGAGTCTTCACCCACTTGCAGGAGACGGCGATCTGGGCGGTCGAAGCATGCAGCGCGTTCCAGGCCGCCTTTCGCCGATGGCGATCTTTCGTCGTCAATGTCTGGGTCAAGGTCCCCGAAAAGGGCTAGGTCGTCGATGTCCACTGGCCGCAGCGCAAAGGCTGGCCATAACTCGCACTCAGCTTCCCAGGGGTCAGAGGAGATGTCGACGGAAGAAAGGCTGGAGTGCAGTGGTGGGTGGAGGGCAGCTGGCACAACGAGCTGCAGAGGAAATCTGACTTGTGGGATGAATGGCAGCATTGACGTGAAAGGGGCAGGAACCGCGATGCAGTGCACGGACAGAGACATGGACACCAGATGTAGTCGATACGGGGTGGGCAAGGATTGGGATGGCCCCCATGGTGGGCGGAACAGGCACAGGGCCCTGGCTTCGCTAACTGAGTCTCTGGACGGTGTAGACTTGCGGGGAGCATCGGCTGACGATGGCCGGGGCGATGGGCAGGAACCTGGCGGAACAGTGCCAGATGTGGACGGACTGGACAGGATGCTGTCAGGGCTTGAGGGTTACAAGGGGCTGCAATGCAGCAGCAGGTCACCGAACTTCAGCAGGGACCCGGGGGCCGAGGAGCTGCAATGTGGGGGGTTTGCGGACAACGTCGTAGTTTGTGAATGAGGAAGTGAATTTGTGGAGGGCGCTGCGGGCAGCATGGTGGGTGGTCGTGCCGCCAGTGGCTGCGCAGTGGCGAACGGGACTAGAGCGTGGGGGCCTTGTGCAGGCGAATTGTGGTGATGGCAGTGCTCCGCCACGTTGGGTGGGATGTGGCCCGTAGAGCAGATATCCCGGAACACTCGGAATGGTGCGGTTTGGGTTACTGCCTTGTTGCAAAGGTTGTAAACATGTTGAGTGCCTGGTTTTCGACCCAGGATCATGCTCGCTGGAAGAACCGCGGGCGGGGTGGGGTGGGGAGGGTATGTGGGTTTGGCACCATCTGCCACGTCCATGACCAGTCGTGGTGAACATTTCCAGTAGCACAAGCATCCGAGAATTGTGTTGTCCTTTGTTTGCAACGTAGCTGGCGGCCAAACAGAAAATATCAAAGCAATCAGCAGACGAATCAAAGTTGCGTACATTCATGCATTGGATTCCGTTGATTGCATTCGAGGGCAAAATAGCAGGCACCTTGCGGGACAGCGGGTCGTTCGACAGCTGTAGTACACTTGCATGTTCCCATCTTGTTCTCTCAACCCGCGCATTTGTGAAAAGGACAAGGATGCCGGGAAGAACAAAAGGAAATGAGGTTACATTTCAACATTTGGGTAAGCAGAATGGGCACAAATGGTGTCTGAAGGCAAGGCATGAGGCTTGATGCGCCAGCCTGGCCGACAATTCCAGATGTTGGCAGCAACACACGAAGCAACTGCCAGACCAATGTCCACATCTCAATCACAAACAACGCATCACTATATGGCGGGTGTGCCCCCACGAACCGCCACAAATCCCTCCCAAATGGAAATAACGTAGCTCGAGAACTACGTTGCGGGGGGCAATGAAGCAAAAGGAAAATTTCTATTCGGACAGGGTTCGAGACAGCAACCCGGCGGGAAAACATCTGGAGCAGCAGGGCGGGGGAGGATCCGCACGAGAGCAAACCTTGGGTAAGCAGCACACCGGATGCCACCTCCACTTCGGTATGACATGTAAGTTGTGGGTCGAAAATACGCAGAGAATCAAGAAACACCAGTCATCTGCAATGCAAATCCTGCACATCAAAAACAAGTGCAAAGCAACCAATCGAAAGCGGTAGAAGCGGAGACATGCATGCACACGGCGCAATGCAACACGGCGCCGGCGCAAAGCACAGTTATCAGAACCCCGAAACGCGACCGTTTGCGCAGTGTTCGCCTTTTCAGCAAAAGCGCAGCGCCACGTTTGTGGTCGCCCTGTCCTGCCTACCGTACACGGTGGTTTGTTCCTACTTCATACGCCATTGTGACAGGCGAGGATGCGTCTCATCTGCAAGTTGTCTGGGCCGCATGATTGCGCAAGCACACTGCGCTGCATTCGGAACAGGAATCTTCAGGCACTAAGGAGCAAGTCGCACGGTTTTGGCGTTCCATGAGGAACAAAAGAACATAAATTTTGGAACAGAATATCATGAAATCACTTTGGGGGGCATCAGCGACGCATCCACAGGAGCGGGCGAGATGAGTCGACTACAGTGACGTAAGGCAGCTCAGTTGCACTGTTGCTGCACGGTGCAGCCTGTGCCAGGAGCTGTTGGTGCTTCAGGGCCCATGTCAACAGGGATACGTCACGCGAGGACTCTTTCATGATCGTGGGGAATGTTCAGCTGTTGACGCATGACCGATTTTACGTGCATCGGGCATCCTGAGTACAACAAATGCATACCTGAATCTGACGGATGGTGCATTGGATTTTGGCGGGGAGGATAATCTTTAAAGACAAGTAAATTGCTCATGCCCTGCATTTACGCACAAGCAGTATTGCTCCGCTGCGAAGGGATGGGGTGTGTGCACCTTTCCGGGATTCCCATGTATTAGGTCCAGGACCTGATTTGTAAATTTTATACAGTTGAATTGGAGGCGAGTGTGTTCATTGAGTCAGAAGGATTGTGGAAGAAATTTTCCACCTGGCAACTTCATCTGCGCATCCTGGCAGGTTATCTTTTGAATTGTTTTCTTGGATCTGCCAAAAGAATCGTCAATTATTCTGGTATTTTTCAATTTTCTAGAACATTTGAATGTGGGAACTATTAAGTAAACGGTTTTCGTGTCATCCAAGCTTTCTATTTTCCCCACTGCAAACCGACATTATAGTGTTATTTTGGTGCAGATATTGTCTCCTGCCAGTGGGTATGAGACAATACACTCGGTAGATATTTGTCGCCGTCGCTGCCGACGTTGATATTAGCGTGACGATTAATCTTACAAGATGAATCTATAATCAGTTCGTCTTTGAGGAGAGATTTTCCTGAACTTATTGTTCCAAGCAAGCTGAATGCTTGAGTACCTGGTGCTGCTTGACTTTCAATGTGATCACGAGCTTTGAAAGAATCTTAGGGATGACATGCTGAATGCTCAAGGATCTGGACGTTCCTACTTCAGATTTCCTCCAGCAATCTCAGGGTGAGTGAGTTTCCACACGATGTTGGTCGCTTCCCGCTCTGAATTGCAGTGGGCGCATCTCAGGTGAAGGAGACTCTGACTGCGCCATGAGATTCGGGTACACAACCCCCCCCAAGTGAGCACAGTTACGCTATGCGCATCGTATTCTACGACCGTGCAATGATTTCGAGGAACGTTGAAGCAGACAATCCCTATATCGTCTCCTGGCAGTTCTGCCTCACGCAGGAAGGAAGTCTCTTCCCGCGCGTAGGACCGCTCCACGAGAAAGGTTCTTGGAAACCACGCCTTCAAAATGTTCCTGGCCAAAGCGCCCCACTGTCTGCAAAGTTAGGGCCACGCACCTCATGGGCTACCCATCATCGCCCTTTGCTCGTCCATCAAGTTTTACCATCCCCAACGAAGGTGCATGCCGGCACATTTTGTCGCCTTCTCCATTTCCCAGGAAGTCCCCATCTCCTAAGCCCCAACTGACGTATCCACATCCAGGGACTTGCAGTGTTCTCAATACACCAACAACAACGCAGTTTGGCCGTAAGGAACAATACACACTTTCTTTGCAATTGCTGAGCGTCACAATCTGAAAATGACGTTGAATGGCTTTCAACGGTTTGCACTTAACTGCTTGCCGCTCTCGACCGCCTTCCTGAGGAAAAATGGCCCTTGCTTCCACAACATGGGGCCAGACGGCTGTTCACGGTGCGCTGATTGACCATCTCCTTCAATGCCATCTGCGTCCGCCTCATTGACGCCCCTCAAACCTGTTTGGTGCATGCCAGGGCCAAGTATGTCCGCATCCCGCGTTCAATTCCTGTTGGATCTCCTTGTCATCTATCGTTGCTTGTCGCTGGCAATCTATGACTGCCGTTCTCAAGTCGCCCAGCCTGCCCCGGTCGCATCGGTGGCCAAATCCCACGCCGTCTTGCGCCCACAGCCCCTGTCATTGTCATTGATACCATCATGCTGGGATGAGCCTCTGAACCCTGGAGGCAGCGACGTGTTGATGCTGCCCAAGTCAAACGTTCGGATGGCTGTGCAGTGTTCTACCCCCAGCCGGTCTCCACCGTAAATCACGCGTCAATCTATGCGCCAAATGGACACATGGTTAGCTGCGATTATGACAACCGGTGTCGTGAAAAGGCTGTTTGTTGTGCTATGTTCTGGCCATGATTTTGTGCAAACATGCGCTAAAATATTCCGGAAGATCCAGCGCCGCGGTAAGTACAATGCGAAGAAACGTATATGACACAGCAGGTATTCAATCAAACAAACAGTCAATCAATGAACCAGTCAGTCCATCAACGAATCAATCGATCAGTCAGTGAGTGAATCAGCCAATCAGTCAAATACCATCAAGTCCTTGATTATCGAGCACTGCCTCCCAAGGGCGCCGGGGTGCCCGAAAGCCCGCCCCGTCATGGAAATCCTGGGCGCCCCCCCCCCCCCCCTTCCCCTGCGGACGCCCACCCACGCCCAGCCCCCCCCCGATGTCCCACATCAATGCATTAGGCCCCATGGATGGCGCCGCCAGCGGCACCGCCCATGATGTATCACTCCAAAATCGGCCCCAAGCTAGACCATAGTTTCCCCCCAGGGGTTGCACAGCAGCCCCGCGTCGGCCCACCCACCCACCCCCGCCCACTTTCCGGTTCCCGGCTCTCCCCACGCCCCCCCCAAACGCACGGGCGCCCCCTCGGGAGGCGTCTCTCGGCGCCCGGTCCAGGCCCAGGGGCGCGCGCCCAGGGGGCAGGGCAACCCCCCCCCGCGGGGTGGGGTGGGGGGGATCGAAGCCGTGATGCTCGGCAATGGCTTCCACGTCCAGCCCGTGCGGGTGCCGCCGGAGCTGCAGAATGCGCGAGCGACCACGCTGGAGGAGTACGTGCGCGCGCGGCTGAACCAGTTCGCCATGTCCTTCGCGCAGCGCGTGGCGCCCCGGCTCACACCCGAGGAGTATGACCGCTCGGTGGCGGAGACCTACACCCAGCTGCCGCCGCCCGAGTACGGGTCGATTTCGGTGGAGAACCGGGAGCTGCAGCTGGTGTTCCGGCACGACTGCCTGGCGCTGGGCTGCACGGACATGCAGTGCGCCCTCTGCCAGCACAACCCCCACCGGCGCTGCCGGGTGAACTTCGACCGCAAGTACCTCGTCCAGGACACGCTGCGCGCCAAGTGCAACGCCACGATCCGGGTGGAGCTCATCGACCGCGCCACGGGCCAGCTGTTCGAGGAGGAGATTCCCGAGCTGCAGATCGAGATGGACATCCTGGATGGGAATCAATACGACCAGCGCTTCTTGGACGGCAAGCCCGAGAGCGACCCCGCCGACCTGGAGTCGTGCAGCCTGCTGATGAACAACAAGAACCAGCCGCTGCTGGTGTCGATGGGCGGCGGCGCCGTGAACACGGCATCGGGCCGCGTGGTGATGTCCCTGACCAAGGGCAAGGCCAACCTGCCCGACCTGCACGTGACGGACAGCAGCGAGGCGCTGCTTTCGGGCCGCAAGCCGCCCTTCCGCCTGCTGGTGGCCGCCGGGCACGAGGGCACGCGCAAGCTGAAGATCCGCCATGCCGTGTCGGAGGGCTTCGTGGTGGCCACGCGGAGGACCCGGACGGCGGGCAAGGTGGAGATTCCGTCGGTGGACGACCACATCTCCAAGCTGGAGCACATGGGCAAGGAGACGGTGAAGAAGCTGCAGGACCTGCGGGGCGCCGCGGAGTGCGCCCAGATCTCGCTGGCGCTACCGGAGGGCCTGCCGAACCGGATTCAGAAGGTGGGGGAGTTCCGGTGGCTGGCCCAGGCCGCCGACCAGGACGGCCACCTGCGCCAGAAGCTGCAACAGGTGCTCAAGCTGAGCAAGGAGAAGTGGGAGGAGGCGCGCGACCACGCGATGAAGTCCGTGGTGGCGGACAACCGGATGCGGGCGTGGTACTCGGACAGGCACGGCCACGAGGTGGGCCTGCTGTTCACGTGCCGGCTGGGGTCCAACGACCTGGAGCGCCCCGTGGCGCTGCTGCACAAGCTGGCCCACAACGGGCAGACGAGCATCGAGGCGACGCTCATGGCGCAGCTGACGCCCGACCAGAGGGAGATGGTGCGCACGCTGCAGCAGCACGCGCTGTCCTTCTGGTGGCACCCCACTCACCCGGGCTGGTCCCTGTGCCCCTACGACTCCGAGAAGTTCCTGCAGACGGGCTCCCTGGTGCCCGTTGGCCAGCTGCCCGACGTGCCCGCCATGCCGCTGGGCGACTCGCCCCGGAGCGCCAACCCCCCCGCGCCCCACATCGACGTCGAGATGCACACGGGCCGCCCGCCGCGTCCGCCAATGGGATCGGTCCACCTGCAGCCCCCGCAGATGCAATTCGGGGTTGCGCCGGCGGCCGCCCAGCCCAGGGCCGTGGCCGTGGAGCTGTACGGCCCCATGAGCACGAGCCCGGTGGTGGTGGCCGCGGAAGGGCGGGGGGGAGCTGTGGCAGCCACGGATTCCGCCCTGCCGCCCAACAGCCCCTTCGTCGGTGTGGCCCAGTTCTCCGTGGAGAAGCAGAAGCAGTCGCAGCAGCACAGCGGCGCACAGGGGGGGACAGCGGCGGCAGTGCAGGCGGCGGCCGTGCCCAACGGCCAGGTCTCTGGGCACGCCGGGCAGGGCTTCAGCGGGGTTCAGTTCCAGGGGGCCAGCAACTCCCTGCAGGGCCTGCTCAACCAGATGAACAGCTGCTCCATCCCGGTGATCCCCAGCATCGAGCTGGACGCCCTCCTGCAGGGCCAGGAGCCGCAGACGTCCCTGGAGCAGCAGCAGCAGGTGTTTTTCTCCTCCGCCCCCCCGCCGGTCACGAAGGTGGAGAGCCTGGAGCTGCCGGACTCGGTGCCGGACTCCGTGCTCCAGTTCGACTCCACGACGATTTTCACCAGCGCCCCGGGGGGCCGGGCGCCCCTGGTGAACCCCAACAGGGAGCAGAGCCTGGGGCTAGACAGCATGCAGAGCATAGAGCAGTCCCTGGACGATGTGCAGAAGTCGCTGGGAGAGGAGGCCGCAAGCTACCTGACGGCGGCAAGGGGGCAGGAGGGGGTGCTGGGCGGTGGGATGCGGATGGGGCGTTGAGCGCAGCGGCAGGCAGTGCATCGGTCGATAACTTGGAGGTGCAGTGAGTTTCTGTGTGATGGCAGTGGTGTGCAGGGGTGTCCGTTGTACAGATTTTGATGGTTGTGTGGGATGAGGGGAGCACAGAATGCGGCTGTGGGAATGACCCGCTTCTGTGGAACGAAACTTAGACCTTGTTCTCAAGCTTCTGTTCGCAGGAGGTCCCTGCAATAAAGCTTGTGTATGAAGTGCAGTGTGTCCCAATTCATATAGTCTGAAACCTGGGGGGATGCAGGGCATGAAGGGGTGCACCTGTGGTGCTGTGGCGCTGTGACAACTGCGGAGCTCCTGCGACTGGTGTTGCAAGGGGCAGCAGGCCCTGGGTCTCGGTGCCTTGTGAGCGGTGTTGGCATTGGGTCTGTTGAGTCACCTGAACGCATTTTTATGGATGGGCACCAGGGGTGGCTGGAGATGGGTGGCTGTGTTTGTGGTTCCAGCTGTTGGCCAACTGGCAAGACCACTTGGGCGCTGCATTGTATGGTGGGGATCTGGGGTATTGCGGAACAAAGTTCTTGGAGCATAGCAAACAACTGCCAAACCTGTGAAGAAGTTGTTTTTTTTTCAATCATCACGTTAGTAGGTCTGATGTGCAGCTGGGGTCATGGGAAGTGGACATGAAAGAAGAGAGTTTTTTGTGGGGGTGCCACAGCTTTTGGCTGTCAGTGTAGTGGTACTGATATTGAATGAGAACATCTAGATGACATTGGCAAGCACAAGGGCGTTAATGCAGGCACGGGGGTTGGGTATGCTGAGGTGCTGGGCAAAGCAAGTCCACAGAGTTCACACCGTCTCTATTTCAGTCAGCAATGTTGGCAATTTTTGTTGAGCCAATAACTGTAACACCATTTTAAGCCATTGGGCGATGTGCAGGCATTACTTCAAGCGTTTGGAGGTGAAGCCCCAGCCACCACATTAGCACCAGCAACCCAGTGAGCTGGACAAGAGAACGTGGGGATTGCTGTGCTGCCCTTTCTCCAGGGTGCATATCTGTTGCCTGTCAGTGCCATGTGCCCATGTGCGTCATGTTCGCAGGTGGGCAAAGGAGCCATCAGCCAGATGGTTCACTCCCCAGCGATCTCAAGTTGCAAGCAACCCAGTGAATCTGGAGAGACTATTGGTGATGCAGCAAACAGGGCAAATGGAGGGCCCTTTTGAGGCTTATTTGCTGGCATTTCCCAGCACTTGCCTGTGCATCTCCACCAGTCGTGGAGGCAGCCTTGCGGAGACTGTCCCTGCGCCCCTGACATTCGACACAGGCTAAAAGGTTGGTGGCGTCTGCGGTGAGCCGCTGACTCTCGGATGTCTCACACAGCGCCCATGGCTGGGATAGATGAAGACGAGATAACAGGGCGTTGTGCCTCCTTTATCTGCTTTGCCGATGCCACCCCATTGGATCATTTTGCATCTGCCATACAGTGTGGCTGGAAGCATGCCTGCTGTGCACATCTGCCCATTTGCATGCAGCTTGTGTCCTCCGCATGCAGGCTCTGAGCGAAGTCTAGGGACTAATCTACGGTCGTTTCCGCCTTCTAGTTCTGTGCGTGTCAGGGGCTGTAAGCGACTAACAGTTTGTCATGTTGGTCCCTGAACTCCATGCAGGACACATACCTGACATATGGCCACAGGCTATGGTGACTGTCCGGGGACACAATACTGTAGACCTGTCAGGTGTTTTGCATGGACAGCTGCTGACTGCTGCTATCAGAAAGACAACAAGCCGCAGCCATGTCTCTCATTCCTCTGAGTGAGCACAGCTGGCTCACCATCCAGGGCCGACTTGGCCATTCCAGCATCCATTCTCCATCCTGTTCCCTTGCCCACAATCTGCGCAGCAGCGCTCCCAACACCGACCGCCGTCTCACGCCCGCTGGCGCCCCTCCCCGCACATCCCTCGCGCACAACAACACCCACCACCACCCGTACTCCGGGAACAACACATTGCGATTGCATTCAATGCCCGATATCGCCGGCTTGGTGAAAGGGCCTGTCCTGTCTTGTTGTGACAACAATGCAATCGATGGAATTGCGCCCCCCAGCACGCTCACAGCCATCTACGTGTGTGCCTAAGTGTCTTCAGGCGTCCTTAAGCGTCCCTAAGGATCGCCTTGGAAGCATCACAACTCTTCCTTCAGCGACTCGACGTCCGTGCGCCCGCACGCCAGCCTGAGCCTCTCCGGCGTGGCCGGCGCCTTGAGGTCGAACCAGCCCTCCAGGCCGGCGGCCCGCCTGGCCGAGTAGCAGGCGTCCTTCAGCGCGAAGAAAGCCGAGGCCGACAGGTAGAAGGGCGGCTCCCCGACGGCCTTGGAGGAGTGCACGGCGCGCGGGTTGGCGGCGTTGCGCAGGAGGCTCACCCGGAAGTCGATGGGTATGTCGTTGGCGGTCGGGATCTTGTAAGTGCCGGGGCCGCAGGTCTGCAGGTGGCCCGGGCGGACCCACGCGTTGGCCTTGTCGCCCCACACGAGCTCCTCCAGGCACAGCCAGCCCATGCCCTGCACAAACCCGCCCTCCACCTGTCGCGCGCGGCAGAATTCAAGAGTGTGAGGATTGTCAAGTTCATGGAAGCGAGGGTCGGTCAGAATGGCAGGAGGTAATAAATTGGAGCCCGCCACCTGAAAAAGTGTAAAAATCGATGCTGCCAATGATATTCTTGGAAAGCCGCGAACCTCAACGAGTGATCTTCTATCCCGATAGAAGTCACGATAGAATGAGCCGCCGTGGAATAGGCACACAAAAGCGAACAACATCCACATGCGAAACACAGATGGGAGCTCTGGGGCCGGCAGCTAAATTCAACCTGTTGAAGAACTTAACTGCGATTCACATGGTTTCATATCCCATGTTACACCGCTCAATCTTTTCCTATTCTTTCTTTAGTTCCGCTTGCTGCTGGTCCTGTTCTGTGGGTGCGTGGGTATGCGGGACTTGTTGTAATGTAATAAATGGAATTTCGACCGCTCAACCTCAACTACCGGGGAAAGCCAAAACATCATGGAGCGAATGGCCGTCAGCCGCCAATCGTGTTATGCCTTTGCTTGGGGCCAGACACGATCAAGACAGGTTGGTGGGTAGGTCTGAAAGCCGTTTGTGCAGATTGAGACAGCAGCACGTGGTAAATTGATGTGTGTCCTACCTGGCCAATGTCAATGGCTGGGTTTAGTGGATTTCCTACATCCATTACAATATCTGTCCGCAGGATGTGCCAATCGCCCGTTAGCACGTCCAGTTCCACTTCGGAACAGGCAGCCCCATAGCAGAAGTAGTTGAACGGCCGCTTGCCTCCCCAACCCGTGACATCTGGTGTGATGAAAAATCCATGAGCGCTAAGGTCGACACGGTCAGCGTATGCCTTCTTGACAATCTCAACGAAGGGAGCATCGGGAGATTGGGAGCGATAGGGCGCTAGCCGATCTGCGATCTGCTTGCATGCATCCATGACAGCACCACCATAGAGGTCGGAGCTTTGGGAGGCAGCAGAGGGTGATGCATTTGCCACCTGAACCAGGCAGAGATGCATCAGAACACACATGTTGCGCTTTCTGCTTGAACCATGACGTGCTGAATCCTGCACTGTGGGCTGCTTGTGGATGACAATTCAACGATTAATGGCACCTCAGTGCTGATACAGGCTCTACCAACATGCTAAATTCGTGCAGCAAATGAGACATCCCCTGGAGAGCAGTTCTCAGGGCGTAAGTAGCCAAGGGATGCATATATTGACACACGCTACAGGCTTTTACAAAGGACAAGTGTGCACAATGGGGACCAATATATATGGACACTTCTTATTTGTTTCAGCTCCAGTCACTCTGAACAGCAATAGACATGCACTGAAATGCTCTATTAGGAAGTTTGCGGCTGTGAAGCAATTTTATCGAACAAACATCTTCCTTTTCATTGCTGTTGTTGAAGACAAAAATGTGGTCCATCACACAGCAATGCCAGTGCAGAAATTGCTCAAAGTCAGTCCAAACAATGCTCTACCAACATTTGCCACATTCCCTTTGACGGTATTGGCTCTCTCCTTGTCCAACTGCGTATTCATACACAATGCAGTGCAGCTCAACATCCATTGCCACCTCCAAAAATGCAGATCCCCAGCAAAGCGCCTGCATTTGGTACTCCTATGCAATGTGGGCACTTGTTCTTTCTCCCCAGACCCCAAACATCGTGCCCACCCACCCCAGCCCACGACCCCACACCGATGGTGTGACAGCGTGCACATTCCTAGCCAAGAGTCCAGCCAGTCCCCTATTCCTTGGCACCTTACCTTGTCAGTGGACGTTTCGGAAATGTGGACAGTCTCAAAGGGCACACCGAGAGCCTGAGCTGCCACTTGGCACATTTTTGTGTGCAGCCCCTGCCCCATTTCGACGCCTCCATGGGTGACCAGTACGGAGCCATCGGTGTAGACGTGCACCAGTGCCCCAGCCTGGTTCATAAGGTACAGTGTGAATGCGATGCCAAACTTCGTGGTGGTTACGGCAATACCTCGTTTTTTGAACCTGCAAGCCCAAAACATGGCCACGGCTTAAATCCCCAACTCAGCGTTTCAGAACTTCATCCGTTTTCTCTACTCCGAGGCAAGCTGCAAATCGCAGTTCGATGGCTGGGTGCAGTTTCTGTGTGCTCTGGGAAGCTTGTTTTGAGGCTATGCTATCATTAACCTCACCTGCATGTGTGCTGAACCCAGCACAGCCAATTCCACAGGGCATCACATTCACAGAGGCGTATAGTCATCATGCAACTGGTATGTGCACAGATGGTTCATTCACACTGATGCGTGTATGGCATGTCAGCGTTGCCCATGGTGCACAAAACCATGTGCAAGATGAACTCCGATTGACTTTGTTTGCCAGACAACCTGCAAGTGCCCAACAGCATGCACAGCAAAGATGCACCATCTGTGTGCAGTTAGACGCAACTGCATGACACTGTAACAACATGTCGTCGTTGCAATAAAGCTGCGTGGATAATACTTTGTCAGTTTGGAAAACTCGACAACACTGAACCGCATTGCAGCCAGAATCTATGCGACTGCAGTGTTGGCTGCAACGTCTTGCAGACTCCCACACCAGCACCCGATGCAATGCACAGCACTGTCAACAACAGCAGGAACCATGCAGTCCTGTGCCTCTTCAATTCTTGGACGAGTGCAAAGGAGGCGGGTGAAAAGGAAATGTCCATTTGAGGTCCCGCTGAATGAGAGGTTCCCCCTGCTTGTGCTTCAGCTGCACCATGCTGCGATTGGGAGTTCCAATTGGGACCCGTAAGAGTGCACACAAGGAGATGCCAGTCTTAGCCCATGGTAATTGTGACTGGCCACGATATCTGTGCACTGTCTGTAGTGTCCATGCATTTTCTGACACATCGCATCGTGCGTGCTGAACGATGCTCCACAGCACACCTGCTATTCGAATTAAACTCCTGGACTTTGGCCTTCCTCATCTCGTAATCGGAGCGGCTCAAGACCTCTTCCCAGCAACTTCGAATCTGGCACGATTCCAGGGGTTGCCCAAAGTGCGTGAGTTCCCCCTCACAGTACATGTTCACCTCTCTAATTTCCTCTGGTCGCTTGCCTAAACTCAACGCCACCCGGTCCAGCCACATATCTGCAAACAGCATCCCCTGGGGGCCTCCAAAACCCCGGAAGGCTGTGTTGGAGGGAATGTTCATCTTGCACAGGAAGCCCCGGGCCCGCATGTTGGGAATTCTGTAGGTGCAGTCGGAGTGGCTCAGGCAGCGATCCATTATTGGGGGTGACAGGTCCAGCGAGTTGCCCGCATTGCTGTAACACTTGAGGTCCACAGCAATGATGCGACCGTCCTTGTTGAAACCAACGCGATACTTGGCGATGAATGCATGACGCTGGCCTGTGACGGAACCCAACTTCAATTGTGACTAGTGGCTTTCGAAAAGCAGGGAATTTGTCTGAAATTGTGACTGAGAACGCATGTAGTAAAGGCCATGGTGCTCATGTTGCAAGCGCAGCCAATGACAAGCAATGATACAGAAGAAAACCCCTCAGGGAAGAATTTCACTTGATCGAATGATATCATTATACAGTCCCGTCACTCCAAACACTGCAGGAAGATCAGCTACAAGGCAGACATTCCAATAGTTTACTGAATGGTGACTCCAGAGCAACACACTATCAAGGCTGTTTCCTTCAAACTGATGGAGGAGATAACAGGGTTTCAGTTGCTGCCAATGACCAAAGGCACTTGAACAAACAGCCACAGAAGTCGCTGTTGAAGGGCCAAAATGCAGAAAATGGTGACACCGGAATGCTGAAATCCCACATATTGCAAGAGAAAACAGCATTCGACTGCATGTGCCTCTGGTCTGCAATAAGACGCTAGCCAACCTGTTATCTTCATATCTTCATCCCTGTCCAAACAAAGGCGAACAGGCTTGCGCAGACTCCAAGCTGCCACAGCTGTCACTGCATTCAAGAATTCGGATCGTGTCTCCTTCCCTCCGAAACCGCCTCCGATTCTCTTAGTCTTGCACACCACCTTGTTGATTGGGATGCCCAACGTCTCCGCCACTGTTTCTGCATGGTGATATAGGGCCTATGCAGGCCACATTCTCGAATCAACATCACAAGACCTTTCCAAACACACAGCTTGCAGTGGGAGTACACAATGAAGAATTGGAAATCGTTATGCAATGGCACATAATATTGTATTGATACATGTTGTAGTACTTGCTTTAGTTTTCTCAGTCGGTAACGGATGATCAAGCCATATCACTGAATCCTCTCCAACACAAAACACTGTACAGAGCAACATAACATTGTCAACACCCTGCACTGCATAACACTTGTTCTGTTGGCAGCCAAGTGCTTGCTCAAACCCAAAAAGCAAGAGGAAAGAAAGCTATGGACAGAACCGACGGAGAGCGCCCGATTGAAAGGACATTTTGTGCTCACAAGGAGGAGGAGACTCTGGCAGGGCGGCGGCATGGGCTTCGGTTTGACACAACCTCCCAGACTGCCACCCACCTGTGTGGAGGCATACATCAACAATTCCTCGTTCTCCTGTGGCAGCACTACACACGTTTGGGGTTCCAAGTAGAAGTGCTCTTGACCTCCGCACTCAAACTCCCCACTTATTTCATGGTCACAGTCCAGGAAGGCCTTGTCCACATCTCCACAGTCTATTTGGCCTCTGTAGCTTGGGAAGAAGCTCTCAGCTTCTATTGCGTCTGCAATGGAGAGTATCGCTGGCAGCTCATCGTACTCCACGCTCACCAACCGCGCAGCCCTCTGGGCTATGGCCTGTGTCTCTCCCACAATGACGCCAATCACCTGGGCCAGAAGACACAGCACAGGTGAGGCAGGCACCACAACTGAAAGTGTTTTCGTGCAGGCATGTGTGTCATCAGGTGGTCATTAAATGTGCGAATTGACTATGGTTGATGAGGGCCACAAAATGGGACACCGCAAAGCACACAAAGACTTTGAGCATCTCTTCTGTCTGGATTGGTCATTTACAGTCATTGAATGCTACGTGAGATGTTAAACAGCCACAGCCAGTGTACAAGCAATGAACAACAGACACAAGAACATACGCATGATGATGGTAAGAGCTGATTCTGCTGGCATGTCCCCACCAACAGCATGACAATCTTGCAGTTTCAGTGCCACACATGCCCTGACTTCATGTTCTGATGACAGCTGGCCACAGCACCTGTGGCACAGCGCAGACGAATTCAAGGCAAGTGGGCAACAATGATTCAGCAACTAGCTGACCTGGCCAACGCATGTAACGATCTCTGTTGCGAACAATTCCTCATCGTGCAGGATAGGGCCCCACATGTTGTTCCCAGGCACATGCTTATGGTCAAAGTAGCCATGAACACCTGGAACAAGGAGTGCATCAGAAGGATCGACGGAGACGATGAGAGCATGCGGCTTGGAGCTGGTCACGAGTGCTGCATGGAGGCAGCCACTGACTGGTATGTCGTCTGTGTATTGAGCTTCGCCAGACACCTGCAGCCCATGAAACGACTGTCTTCAGACAACACTGTCACAAGCAAAATGTGTCTCTACACACTCCAAGTGTGGTTCTCAGCACTTTATGAAGCCAGGCAAGAAGCACTGAGAATCTTATCAACAAGCACACAGAGCTCACGCTTCTGGACATGTGACACCAAACCCTTTCCACACTCCAAAGAAATCATGGCAATCCCATGTGGCATTCTTCCACACTGCGCTCCACCACAGTGAGATGTGACAAGCACTGCAGCTCGACACTGGTGGGATCTGCCTCGGTGCCCAGAAACTGCTACAAGGACAAAGAGGAATCCTAAGACACTAGCATGTCAATGTATATGCAAGAATTTTGCAGCAGAGTGCTGGCCATACAATGGGTGCATTCCGTTCACATATACAATTCCCTTGGGAAGAGTTATCCTTCTTTCTTTGTGTGTTTGCTTTCGTTTGCTGCCTATGACGAAGGAAGACGTGCAGCCCATGATCGACACTGTAACTCAGACAAGGATACAACTGGTTCGTCATTCCTGGCCGTCTATGGCACTTTTCCACTGTCAAGGCATGTGCAATGAACAGTGGCAACTGCACGACACACGCGATTATACCATTTCTACACATACAATGGCTAATCAAACGACTGGCCAAGGCTATTTGCAATTGACCATACAAACACCTGCAGGTTCTGCAAAAGCAAATATCCCTAAGATCTCCACTTCTGATTGCCACGGTTTCACTGCTGATTTTTGAGCTATGCAAAAGATGACTGGCTCCAAGGGTAAGCAGTGCCAAAACAATAAGCAAGACTTGGGTGGACCGCTGCCTGCTTATTAACATGACATAACTCAAGCAATGTGCATCCCCTCTTAAACTTCCAGACTTGCTTCCAAATTACAAGATTGCATATGCCACGATGAAAGTATCCAAAAGTATCTGTCAACATAAGCAAACATCAATGCAGGACAGCAGCAGCACTTCGCCAAAGGTATTTCCTCACGTGCCTGAACGTCTGCTGATCTGTGTCTTTCCGGCTTCCCAACAATGTCAAACTCGCTGGTGGGCTCAGCGAAGTACTGCGTGCCACAAGATGGGGGACGGTCGAATTCCTCAACTGCTGACTGACAGTCCTGTCCAAATGTGTGCTTGAATGCTGGAGAATCAGCCTCAAGATCATAGGAGACCCTCATGAAGAACTTGAACAGGAAGGAAGCTGCCAGAGAATTTCGAAACTCTGCCATCCCACCAGGAGCTCCCACCGGAACACACACCTCCTCCTTGACAGCGTCCAGTGCCATCTAAGACAAATGGGAGCAACATTGTTGGGCCACATCAACAAACAACAATTGGTTCTGGACATTCTGGTTTTCACAACGTATGGGACAGCCTTTGGAAGATGATGCTGAAGTTGCAAAAGTGCCTGTCATCGTCTAGATCGTCTTAGAAGTGGAAATGCAGTGCCATGTCACTGTGACAAATGCACATGAACTGGGCATTCACACCAGCACACAACTTCACGGCTCCGATTCTGACACCACAAAGGCAAAGTACTGTGCATGACGCGAGGAAAACCAGCCGCAGCCCAACAATGAGTCACCACAACGGGTCTTGACAACACTTCAGCAACACGCGCCACACACATTGCATTGAATCCGTTGTAAGTTTCGGGCTTGAGACCAGCTCTGCGGCTTGGAGACAAAGTGAACATGCAATCTGACAAACAAAGAAATCAACAAACCCGTTGGGATATGAAACTTCAGAACAATGCCATGACAGCGGGCCTGTGCTTGTCAAGCAACTCAAAGGAACTAGGTGATGCCACGCAATGACACCTGAGCAAGAAAACAAACAAACCACAAGCTACCAAATGTCCAGTGTGTACTTCCTTGCACCACACACCTTCATAGCCTCCTTGCCCCAAAGACAGCCAACCAAAGCTTGCTCTACTTTGGATGCAGTGACAGTCTTTGCTGCCACCCCTCCATAGGAAATGCCTGCCTCTTTGACAACAAAGTCATCTGACAGCCATACCCTCATGCCCGCGGTGACAATGGCGATGTCGTCTTCCCTGCGATGCGCCTGCTTAAACTCTCTCACATACTCTTGGCGCCTCGTGAATGGTATAAAAATGTCCACAAGAACTTCGCTGGGTTTTAAGTCGACTTTTCTGCAACACAGGCAAATAGCTAATTGAATGTGCTGCATATGGCCCTAACTCTGGCCCAATTGCATTGCTGTCAATACAGCAAACCAGCTGCAAAGTGGGGTGCTTGTGCTCATAAGAAGCGACTCAGATACCTCCCAAAATGGTCCATTCATGATAAAGTCATTCCACAAAAACCTGTTGGACAGAAGGAAACACTGTGTGAGGTACTTGCGAAGTATTTTGGAAAATGCACTCGCAATTCTTGGAATTCGTCACTTGCAGGTTGGATACCCCCAGTCCCGTAACATTTCACACGCAGAAGCCATCGTTCGTGAGTGTGGACAATTGTCCACGATCTCGTATGATGGCTACTGCACAGCACATGACAAACCTGTTGTTTTCTTGGACTCCACATCCAATTCTTGACAACATGAGATTGCACAGCACAATCCTTACACTCAGATTTTTTCTTCATGCTCAGTATGGACGAAAGCACTAACACACTTTCTCAAGAGCGGATGCCCATTGTGTGAACTCAAGTGTTTCCTTGATAATGCCAACCGCTTCTACTCACCACCTGAACAGCTCCTGCACAATGCCAAAGTGGGTGTGCAATAGACCCTTCAATGCAATCAAGAAATCCACCAAGAATGGTAGTTTGGCGCAATGCTCAAAGCATCATAAAGTTCCAAAACGATAGTACTCGATGCAAAATCAAATCTTTCCAAGCCACCTATTCTGGTTGACAATGAAACCAAGCTGTCAATTATCAAGACACAACAGAAATGCTGCTTTTTTTGCTTGTTGTCTGGGCAATGTCCTGTCTATCATGTGATAGGAGCAATCGACATGGACAGTCCCAGGATCCAAACTCCCATCCATCCAGAATACATGACCTCCTGTGACAAGGGCCACTCATAAGCTCACAGCAACAGACCAAGTCAACTAATCAGCGAGCAAGCCAGCAAACGCACCTGTAGCCCAAGAAGAATGCTCGCGCAGGGACTTTCCTGTCCACGCTCGACTCGGCGGCAATGCTGAATACTGCCCCAGATGCAATCAGCACTGGATTGAGGTCCGAGATCGGGCTGCCCGTGACGATGTTCCCTCCAAGGGTTGCGACGTTCCTTATCTGGTGGCCAGCAAACCAACGCAGCTGGCCGCAGATGGCCTCAAAGGCAGACAGTTTGTACTTTGGAATCTCATCTGCAAGGCCACTGAGGAGCTGGTAAATCTGGGTCAAAGTGCAGGATGCTCCCACTCGCACGCCATCGTCTTCAACTTCCATCTGTCCAGCAGCACAGGAAAGCAAGCTGTCTCTGGATGGGTACAATTATGCTATTAACGACCACTTGATGCCCAGCCAGCCATCAGTCATATAGCCATATGTTGAGGAAGAGGAAACATACACCACTTGTTTGCTTCCAGCTGGGTAGCCTGGGGTTCAATACCAACAGGGCAAGCTTGCACACTAGTTTACTCTGGACAGGTGCGTACTTCTCGGCAGAACAAGGGGCATGTGGTGAAATGAGCTCATCAGCATCCTTTCTGAAGTCTTGACACAAAATTCCAACACTGAGCAAGAAGTGGAGCACCATGCGGTCTCCATGGCAAGGTGTACCCATCTGCTTTGCTGACATAGATTCGCATATCCCTCACAATTCACAGTACCTTGTGATTCCCTGTCTCACCTTCTTGAGCTCAGGCACGTGCGTCACTGCGATGAGGACAGGGTAGTCTGCATGCTTGAACTTCATTTCGATGCCCACCTCCGTGTTTCCACCCACCAACTTGGCCGATGGGTGCTGAGCCTTCAGACCCAGCAGTTCTGGCATTGTCACTGGCCGATGCCAAGTGGAGGTCGTTCCTGATTTTGGGGCAACACAGAGTGGAGATCAGTCGTGGTGGGTCTGCTAGCAATGCAGAACATTCTCTTTCATAGTTTGTGGCAGAATGGGGTCTGAAACAAGATGTCTGACCAGCATAAACATCGCTCAAGGGTAGAATTGTCATCGATGCTTGCACAGGTGTCAATGGTTGCCAATGGAAATCGTTGATGGCGATGTGTACGTGTGTGATATTGATGTCCATGGTGCAGTGACAGCCATGGACAGTGGAGACCAAGTGAATGCAGAATTGCACACGTGGATTATGCGCACATCAATGGACTGCAATGGTGGTGGAAACACACAAAAGCAAGGAATTCAAGCTGCCGAGCCTCTTCTGCAGTCCTCTCCATGCGTGGCAGTGCTTGTGAGCAGTTGTATTTTCCCTTGTGTTCGTTTCTTCTGTGATATTGACTGCTGCGATGGTCCATGAGCGAGTACACACACTGTGATCAAACTCATTCCTGGGTGCCAAGCTGTCCAGGAAGATATCTCAAAGATACATGTGATGATGCACCAAACTGTCTCTGAAGTGCTGCGCCTGGACTTACCAGGCAACGCCAGAGACGCTGGCACATGCTTTCTGAGCTCAACTGGAAAGATGGGCTCCTTGCTTGACATCAGCCCCTCTTCCACACCATTCTTGACACTGGTTGCACACAGTGGCCCTGGTTTTGTACAAGAGCACGGCTGTCCAGTCGTGGGGCATATCTGTCAGCAGCACAAGCAGGACAGCCACATCCCAAGGTTAGTTGCACTTGTGGAAGGGTAGATTGCAGGCATGCAGTCGTTCTCTGGGTCGCTTCCAGAGATGCATCGACACACATAACATAACATGTGCTGCTGCTCAGCAGCGCAGAGGTCAATTGGAGGGAATGCTGGCCCTGTCCACTGCAGATGCCTTACAAAATCTTTGATCTGAATCTCGCAAGCCATCCATTTTGAGAACCATTTATGCCCTTGAACCTTCAGCATGAGCACCAAATGCACATGCCTAAAGCAACGGCACAATATCCTTTCTGATCGGCAAACATGATACAAGAAACACAAAGTTTGGCAGGGATTCAATGCCCACCTGCACACCACTGGCTTCCAATTTCCCGTTTTCCATTGCTCCTGATTCTCCTTTGGCTTCTTTGATGTGTCCGTTGGCACACTCCAGCCCCCCATCGCTTCTGATTGTCTCTCTTGTGTAGGAAGTTGCTGAGGGCTGGGCAAATCCTTTGAAAGCATCCAGAATGGGGCGATACCCTGTGCAGCGACTGACACCACGCATAAAGTGCAAGTCAACCAGAAAGTGGAGGCATGCTTGAGGGTGGCTGCAGAGACAAGGGAACTCTCAATGCTGGCAGAAAGATGGTGATTATCAGTCTGTCTCTTACAATATTTGAATCCCCTGAGCTGCACATTTGCGATCACCAACAATATTAACAAGAGGGAACAATCACAACAGCAGTTTCCTGCAGTGGCCGTGAGATCCTCTGCACCGTAACATCTAACTGTTAGCAGCAATATGGACAGCAGTAGTTTCACACAAGTAAAGTTAAAGGACTCCGAGACCAGAGCCTGGAGGATGGGTGTGTTGACTGAGAGTGGTGTTACACAATTCCTGCTACAAGTACTGAGCCAATGCCCATACATAACGGCAGTGGCACCAATCAAAAATTGCAAAATCGAAGAAATTTCTTCCTACCGTCATTAATTATCCCTACCAGAGGTTTCCTGCCAAACATTCTTCGATTTGCAGCTCTGTGGGGCTACCGCGTGTGTTCCTCAAGAGTGAATACATGGACATTACAAAGCCAGGTGTGCAGAAGCCACACTGTGAGCCATGTGCCTTGGACAATCGTTCCTGCACTGGATGCAGCCCATCTCTGGCGTTGCCGATGCCTGGACAAAGAGGCTTGCCGAGGTCAATGCCATGTGTGGAAGGCCATCTTGCACGAGCTCACTGTAGGTCCCATCAACAAATGGCTGCACTAAATTTGGTCTGCATTTCTAACGTATTGTCTGTGCATCTGCACAGATGGACAAGTGTAAAACACAGCCAAGCCATGCAGGTCTCCATTTCGGGGCTGCATGCCAAGTACATGCAACAACATGCCATCATTTTGAGCACTGCCTGTTCCCATCTTTAGACAGAAGCAATGTATCTTGATGCAAAAATGGACATGTGCACAAATATATTTTTCAACTCGTGTCCTGTGGGGTTACAACCAACAGTGCAAATCCTGCAGCAGTCTGTAACCAGCACAGGACTGATTGTGTCCTGCAATCAACATTGTGCATCTTTCCAGATCTAACCCGCTTGACCCTTGCAACACATGCTTTGTTGTTTTTTGCCAGCATCCTGGGTATCCCCATGCTTACCTTCAACAGTTATGACGTGCATCCCTTCAACAGCATACTGCATTGTTCACAGACCAAAGAGCTTTATGAGAAAATTCAGTGGCTATTAAACACAGAAAATATTGAAAATCTGGTCCATGGTAGCTGAACCCTTTGCAGTGAAGGCAACTGAATTCTTGCGTCTATTTCATTGTCCTGAACTTGACAACTGGCTCCCATTCATCCCGAAATCTTTCCAGGGCGAGTTGCTTCCTTGTCAGCAGAGAGCAGGGGCACCGGCTTCACAAGTTGACCTACCAGTGGGCAGAGGCAAGCATTGACAGCCCTGTGCTGGAGTTTGCTGTCCTCCATGCCAGAGAGCATCACTGTGCATGCTCCACATCCACCCTCCCCACAGCCCAGCTTTGTGCCAGTCAGGCCACATTCTGTTGTCCACAAAAGCAACAACCTGATTATAATGCTTTGGAGAATTGTTGACAACAGCGACAACAGCAGCACTTACCGGAAGTCCCCTTGGGCCTGCACCCATTAAATGAGTACAGCCAGTACATTGCTGTCACTTCCACCCGTATTGCATGAACCTGGTGTGACCAACTTAAATGGTTGGTGTACTTGTGCCTTTTACTCTACATCAGCCTCTGCAAAAGCCATTTGCTGAGACCGTAAGTTCTTCAAGGTTTTGCGTTTGGGGGTTCAAGGCAAAACAAAAAAGAAAGGGCATATATCACATATTCAGCAGAAAGACTGATTTGATCCTCGCTGGGTCGTGCGCTGTGTCTGCTGTAAGAGAAGGGTAGCGCACAAGTACCAAGTCCCACCCCGAAGGCACAACGCCCGCTGGGCACAGCTTCCCAACAACTGCGAAGCTTGGGTGGCCATCGTCCGCAATCCTGCCAACACTGACTAAATCGCACCTCGCTCATCCGGCTTGGCACGACGTGGTGGCGACTGCCTTCCGGAAACCATCTTGATTTCTCGAGTGCCGCCCCCGACACTAACGTATGTCAACGGTACAAGGGTTGATTTGGCATAGGGGTTGATGGGGCCCATTGGCAGTTTCGTTTATGTGCCACCCCGCGCGTTGCGCTGAACGCGCAGATCTGCCCGCCTCTCGACTCGCGAGATTGTGGGGCTACGGGTAGGCACCGCACCGAGGCCAGAGACCAACCGCCGCCCATGACACCGTTTCGTTTTGTTTGCGTCGACTTGCATCTGACGTCTCGCAGTCTGGGGCGATTGGGGTTCCCCATCCCGGGTCGCGCGGCCGTGCGGAGGCACGCACCTCTGAGGTACTGAAGGAGTGTGACCTCCCCCCTTCCGGGCGGCAGCACGTGACGCCGGCCGTTGATGTAGCACGCGGGCCCCGACACTTGGGGCCCCATGGCGGTCTCGAGGGGGCACCGCGAAGTCGCAGGGCCCCCGATAGCACACCGGAACTGCAGTGGTGCGCTTGAAACCCCGGGGGGGGGGGAATGAGCGCGCTGTCGAGCGCGGCGGGCGGCTGTCTTGAGAAGGTTGTGGCTCCCGTGGGCGCTCCGGAACTTAAGTGAGTGACCCAAAAGCAGACTTGGAGCACTTACGATGCACTGGACGCTACCCCTTACGATGAACGTGCGCCGCGTTCTGGCACACTGACGTGGACCCCATTGCATCAGGCTCACTCAGTTGACAACATTGTACGACGCAGACCCCGTGGAGAATGTATTACTCCCCGTTCTTGTTTGCTGAATTTCGGTTCTTGTTCCGCTGACAAGGCCAGTCCCGGTGCGTGGATCAGTAGTTGGGGTTTAGGGTGTCCGAAAACAAGAACGGAAATTCAGCAAACAAAAACGGGGAGTAATATTATGCCGACCCCGTGTCCTCCGCTGCCCCCCGGATTTCGCGGAATTTGTTATTTAATTTGATTATTTAACATAATTATTTTCAGTGCATTGCTGCCGCACTTCAGGTTGGAAGGGGTGCTCCTGCAGACGGGGCACCCACCCCCCCACCCTCCACCTCTAGGAGTAAACAGCCTCACTTGGGGACAGGAACCAGCAATTGCAACAGTATGCCACACCGCTGTTGCGAGGCAAGGCAGCATGTTCGACCACCGAAGGGGAAGTCCGAACACCTTGGGAGGCCTCTCTGTACCTTAAGGGCTCCCAGAATTCCAATATCAGGAACCTAACAGCTCCTGCAGGCGGACTGTGCGAGGCATGCAAGGAGCTGCTGGAACAATGCAATGACATGCAAAAAATTGCCTTCCCCAACAGCTTGGGGGGCTGCACAACTGTTGTCGATTATTGCCAAAGACAGAAACCAAGAACACTTTCACGACCTCCAGGCTGCAGATTCCTCCTTGTCAGCGCCATCCTCCCACCAAGTGGACCTCTTGTACCCACGCCGCAGGAAGGCCATCGTGGAGCCCGGTGCCTCTGTGTTGAGCCCCATGGCCGCCATCAGCTCCTCCTTCGCCTCTCCCAGGTTGTACCTCCCTTTTTCTTCCGCGATGCATGCATATGTCCCATCGTCTTGTTTCAGCATGACCTTTCAACAAGTTGGACCACGAGTTAGTTGTTGATATGCCATGTCAGGGGCCAAGATCGCTTCCACTCACTCACAATGGGCTCCACCCGTCCCTTTTCACGATATGCAGTCACACGACCCACACCCAAGCGACCACCGACGTGTCTGTGTTGTGCTCAATTAGGGTTTCGTCTTCAACGAGCAACAGGCTATCTTCTGTAGTATGTGACAGATTTTCAACTGCTGCACAAGAGGCGAGGCCCAAATTACAGTATTTTCTGGTTTCTGCAAACAGCCACCACCGATGCAGCATTGCTTTGCATCTGTTGCTGCTGCAAAAGATGCAGTCAGGCATCAGAACAGGTCTGAGCCGGTTTCGCGTTTGTCACATTACACAACGAATTAACAAGACAGCCAACACATTGCATCGTCACCTTTTCCATGCACCAACACAACAGCACATTCCACGTGCAAACTCCACCAATCAACTTGCCACTGGCACATCAGAAGGATATATCAACGCTTGCCAGATAAATACTGAAACTGCCAACAATTTCTGCCCTTTTTTTGCACTAATTGCTGCAGATCTTCTTGATTTCCCTTTATTTCTTTTCTTTGGCAAGTTGCTGCTGGGACAATGCTGCACCTGTTCTTCAATTACCCGTTTGGCCAGAGCTTGTTAGTGGTTCTTCCGACTGCCTTCACATATGGTGCTGATGCAAGCACAATTGGAGAGGATATGTCAAGGTGCTGCGACTAGGCGCCCTCCAGGTTCAAGAACATTGGCAGCACCTCTCGATAGAAAAATTCCAGTTCAAAATCGTTTCTCACAACCAGCAACGCCACACAGACACCACAAGACGCCTCATCCATTCAACTTGGCTTCCCTAACTATAAGGTAGGCCTCACAGCGCTGATAGACATCTTGGGCACCAAACTGTCCCACCATCATTTCCAGGGAGCTTGTACCCTCCAATTTAATGACCATAGCAAGAAGAGTCCCTTGGACAGATTTTGCTTTGCTTGCTACATCCCTGCAACATCGTGAGTTTCTGTCCAAGAAGACCCTAGACAAGCCTTGCAACAACTAACAATGATCGCACAGGTGCGTACCTGCCAGGGACCAGGGTACTCTCGAAACAGCGCCCCACTGTAGTTGATGACGAAGGGCGCCACAGCGACAGTCTTGGCATAGTCCCGCTGCCGCAGGTAGAAGGCCGGCATGAACTGGCACAGGAATCGGTAGTGCAGGTCTTTGGAGGGAAAACCCAACAGGCCCAGGTCCGCCCGCAATGTGTCTAACTCTAGGTTCCAGAGCACTACAACCTTGCCCTGTCCAAATTGTTCAACGTGCTCTTCAATGGAAGCCAGCTCGATCGTGCTGTGGTTGATCACGATGAATATGTCTGTATCCTGGGCGTCAGCGAGCTGATCGTCACTGCCATTGCCGCCAAGGAGAGTCGAGATTGAGCCAAACACTCCAGGCTTGCCTTCCCTGGTGTGGCCCATGGTGACGTTGTCCACCACAGAAAGAGTGTACTGGTACCTGAAGTGTACACAACAACTGGGCTCTTTAGCAGACAGAACTTCTGACTTACTACTCAATAATGCCTGGGTTGGTTCATCAAATCAAGTTTAGCACCATTCACACCTTTGCATCTTGGTCTTATTAAAATGCCGTTCGCTCCAAGCAAGTGAATGCCACCGGAATGTTGGCTAACCGGCTCTCTGACAAAGGGTCATGTTATGTGTCCCAGATACACCATCTAATTCGCATAATGTACATGCACAGAAAGGAGGCTAACAATCCACAAAAAAAGGGCCTCAGAGGCGACACTGCAGAGGGAACGGACTTACAATACGATAGCAAAACTTGGAGATGCTATTACTCTCTGGGCGAGAAGCCTATGAATGGTAGTAAATATGCGTCTAACAGTGTGCTTGGGTTCCGATTCTACGATGTTGTGATGGTCAACTTCAAAATCCAAGAAAATACTGTGCAGGCACTGCAGCTCAGTGCAAAGGGGAAGTGGCACATGCACACGTACATTTCCAAAGCCCTTTCGAGTTCAGCTGCATCAGGCACCAGGATTCGAATCTTTTTGCCAGCATCGGCAAGCTGCACAGACACAAATATCTCATCAGAGTTGGAGATGATGTGATAGAATTTGCCATGTTGCCGGTGGGCACCTGAAAAACGAGCTTCTCGCACCCGCTGAGAATGCTGTGAGCAAAAGCTGTGAAACAGTGTTAAAAATGGTCCATGTGTTTGGGTTTATCAGCATGCAAGCATGATCAACATGAAGCAACAATCCTGCCCAGCACTCTGTGGGATTCTTGTCATATCAAAGACTCCAATGCTTTTCTTCAGGAGCATAAGCAGAGCCTTGCATGCCGTCCATGGCAGTCACGACTCAGATGCTTACTGTGATTGTGCATGTCTACTGAATTCCAGTGCATTTAAGGCGGCATTTCTTGTCCTTTCCATGCTGCTGGCCACATTTTATACTCACTTGAACTGCCCTGAGTGCATATCTACTGGTGTAGAAATGAGGCTCGCATCCAATGCCTACTACACGGTGCCTGCTGTACACAGCGCATTGCCGTGTATAACTGCGCACCTAAGTTATGTTCTGCCATCTCACCAGCTGAGCAGCGGACAATGCAAGCTGTGCATTGGCATCGATGTAAGCATCGGACGCCCCCTTGTACTCTGCAAACAACCATTTTCCTGTTACTTTATAGAGCAAATAACGAAGCGCTATCTCCACACTACGGGGCATCAAAACATCAAATCCTGTCCTATTGACTGATCCTTCTTGCACAGCCTTCCACGGACCGCGCAACTCAAAGTAACCATTACTTCCCCGACAGGCGACTTCCAGAGCGTCCAGGAACGCGATTGGGCACGTCCTGACGGCTAAGCAGGGACAGGTCAGGTTGGAGACAGGGCTCTCAAGGCAACTCCTGTTGTTCATGTCTTCATTTAATGCATCAGGAGGCTTTGGTGTTATGGATGAGCAGCTCAAGCAGATGTTCTCATGGGAGGATGCCACTTACACCTCACAGTTCTGCTTTGTGAGCGATTGCACAAATGACTGGACATTGCCGTTGGATGAGTGAACCGATCGTAAAATGTTCGGCATTCCAATCAGCGCTTGCAAATTTCAGGGAGCCGAGAACAGGCATTGAAGCCTCAGATACCCAATCCCGCATGCTCCGCACTCACGGTCGACGCTCCCGGGAAGGGGCGGGAACTCGACCTCCAGGCGCCTATTCCCGTCCTCAATCGCCGCCGACACGGCCCTCACGGCGTCCCTCACGAGCTCATCGAAAGATTCCGGCTTGTACGTCATCCGCCCCGCACCCCGCTCTGGCGTGGCCACGCCTCCTTCGCCCTCCTGCTCCCCGGGTCCAGCCCCGTCGGCAGCGCCCGCCGACGCGGGCGCCCAGTGGCGTTTGGCTAGCGGCAATCTGTGCGGCCTGTGGATCGCCGGGCGTGCGTTGCATCCCGAACGGCTGGGAGAAGGGGCGGGGAGGGAGAGGGAGCGGTGGGGGGCGGCGCCGCCGCCGGCGCGCTGTCCAAGTTGCTGCATCGTGCTGTGAGCCCCGCAACACCTGTGCCAACCAAGCTGCACGTCCATATGTGGGAATGGTGGGAAGACTTCGACACCTTTTGGCGCTTGTGGGAAATAGTTTGGAAAGCAGGGTTTTTTTCTTGTGTCCGAATTGACACTTTTTGTCCGAATTAGGTTTCAACTGACCGGCTCGAAACACCAGAAGGGATCCTTTTCCGAACAATTTGTCCGGCAGAAAACGCTAAAAAGTGCCCTAAATTCGAACAACGCCTGGCAAGACAACTGCAAACTGGCCCCAAATTCGGAAATGTGACATTCAACGACTTCGACTTGGGACTTGAGTTCTAGACAGTTATGAGCGGTACAACTGCACGGCAGGTGCCAATCGCTGCAATTCTGTAAAGCTCAGTCATCGTTTTCATGTTGCGCCAGTTCGTTGCAGTACACAATGCGACTGGCTTCTTGCCACCTTGCCGGCTTGCTGTGCTGCTGTGCGGTATACTTTGCGGTAATCCCCTGTTTAGGCAAACCGAAGAGCGGGGGTGGGGGTGGGTGGGTGGGTGGGTGGGGGTATGGATTGTGGATACCAGGTGCACGTGGACCGCCTTGCACGGAATGCGCTGTGTTCCACTGAAGGAATCGTTGATGCTGCTGTTCCAGGGAGCTGACGGCAATATCCTTGCCTTGATCTGCGACATTTCTTGAGTCGAGCACACGCTGTCGGCATCTTCTGAAGTCCTTGAGTAGGCAGCAGCAACACACGGCGCGCTGAGAACCTCTCCGTGCAGTTTGTTCCCCAACGCCAATCGTGACCTTCGCTTCGCTGCCGTAATTTCACACGTTTTCCAATGCACTAAACTGCCAATGAACCGAATTCAGAAGGTGAGACGAATGAAGACGAGAGGAGAAAACGGAAAAAAGCAGGGACGGACCACGACCCCACATGAATTCCGCAACACCACCGACCCGAGCCATCTCCCTTCTCCCGCTCCCCTTCCCCGCGGCGCCATGGCGTCCCCCGCCCCCAAGCACAAGCACAACTTCTTCCTGCGCCTGGACAGCGGCGCCGTCATCGGCCCCGCGCACGTCTTCGGCATCAAGGACGGTGACCCCGACCGGTGCGTCTACCTGTCGGTGCACGACGCGCACAAGCGCGGGCTGGTGGGGCCGGCGGAGGTGGCGAGGCTGGAGAGCCTGGTCCAGAGCGCCAGGCTGATGGCCAAGCGCCAGGCGGAGGG